CACATCTCTTCTACTCTTGCAGGACTTCTGTGTCTCTCTCCGGCAGATGCAGCTTTCTCAAGAGTCACGCTCTTATTTGCTGTGTCTACAGTGTGGGATGCAGCTGCTCTGCGGTGCTCTGCCATGGTGGACAGTGAAATCAGGCACCTTCTGGAGCAATCCACTTGCTCATGCCTCTGTATTTGCTTCCAGAATAAGCCAGGATACATGAAAGAATGATGTAAACCCAATTTCTGTCCCACCTTATGACCAAGACATGGCTAAGGTATACATCCACGTACGAGAACTGCCATGTACAACACACTGCAGCCATCAGCTCCATGTCAGTGGTGGTGTCAGAGGTCTGCCTGTGGAAATGAATAGTCTGTATGAGAAAAATGTTATTATACCATCCTCTGTTTTGTCAAGCAAATTGTCCTGAAAGTTTTTCAGAAAGACTCTCTCTCTCTATCTTTCCCTCCCTGGTTCAAAAGCAGGGAGCCGCCAAAAGAAAAATGCTGATCCCAGGGGGTGCCTGGAGAATTATAGGGTTTGTCAAGTCCACAAGTGAAATTCACGTCTTTTCATCATCTGCTGAAAGACAAAAGTGTCACTTTCAGGGAAAAGCTCCAAGCTGACAATGGTGAGAGCATCACATAGGATGGTTGCATTCGTGCAGAGCAGCTCTGGAGCTGTCATCATCAAATTGGGCCTCCATGTTCTCCAGTACCTGACATAATTTGTGAATAATGAATAGGGCCAGGTCCCTAATGATCTCCAGGTGTGATTTAACCTGGAATAAACCTTCCACGTACACTATTTAGTTCTTGCAAGGTCATTTCACTTCTAATAAGTACTGGTTTTGCACATGCTCAGCTGTGTTCTTGTTCTTTAATGCAGGAACTGACAGATGGTAACGAAATACTCCTTTTATAATGAAACTTGCTGAAGGAGACTGCTTAGTGCCACAGAAAATATAATTTCTGAAATAAAGGATGGTGTCCAGGAAAGAAAGGAAATACTGTAATGTAGTACATATATTAAACAATTTTCCTGAGGCATCTGGTGATCAGTAGCTTTTTCTCATGTCAGAGAGGTGACCTAACTGTTTGTTTCCACTTAGTTACTGCCTCTTTCACCTTCGTACCCTTAAAAGTCTTGTTTCTGTGGGTTGGCATAATTAGTGCCTCTAAAAATGTGTGAATTAACTGCATGAGGGTTTGTTGCAGAGGCTTCATAGGTACCAGATTTGTATCTGCAGTGTGTAGTCAGATACTTAAGGTTTTCACTTACACTATAATTAGCCTAGTTTCTGGGTGAATTTCACACTCATTTTTTAGGCACAATTATGCCTATTTCTCTTAAATCACTGTTAATTCCTAGCAGCATTGCTACCAAATCCTTTGTGTGACCATGCACACCCTGTATTTTCTCCTGGCCTTTGCAAGCTTATTGTGGCAACTGAGTACATCAGAATTGTCTAATTTATCAACTTCTGTGATGCAGGCAGGCAGTTTTGGATGGCAGAAACCTCCCCTTTTCAAACCCTCAAGAACTGGCAACCTTCATCTAAAGCCAGTCATTTGCTGAGTAGCTGTCTTTGCCACTCTTAGTTTCCTCAGGCTCCTCCATAACCAATTTTTTACTCGTTTTATCGTGTGCACCAACACACAGTTAAGGGAGTCTTGATGTGACTCCCTTTAGCATCCATTTACACTGTCCTATAAATCATACAAAATGTTCTGCACAGGCTCAAATCTAGGCATTAAATGAGAATCCATCTGTTCGTTGCTTCCAATGGGAATATAGTTTCTTCCTCTGCATCACTGCTTGACAAAACTAATCCCATCTGAAACTGCTAGTGTGTTGTGTTTGGGGCCTGTTATGTCAAATATACATCTCTCTGCTCTCTCCTTCCCCTCTCAGGAATTGTTATTTTTAGACTGCTTTTCTGTCTTTGTTGGAGTCAAAAGTTACATCTTAACCTATACAAGCTCTGGTGGCATATGCTGCTCTGCTCTTCTGCTGCAGTATCATGAAATCTATCATCCAGCTCTTTCTTCTGATCTGTAACCCCCTTGTCATTACTGCCCTTATGGAGAGATTAATGTGAACACTTCTCTTATTCTTTTTCTTACCTGGCTCTTCTTTCACTGTTCTTGGATGTCATGGCCAGCAGTAGATGAGTATTTGCATTAGCCTTTGGCTCTATCAAGAGGGGAATCAACAGTACGGGACAACTTAGAGCATACTCCTGCTGCTATGATGTGCCCTGTGCATTTCAGCACTACAGGAGTGCTAGTGTCAAGGTGATGTAGCTGCCAGGATGCTCAGGCACACCATTATTTTAAGAGAGCATCACTGCAACTCTTGAACTGCAGGCTCCCTCCTACCTGTAGGTGTCTAAATCTCTGCTTTAAGTCTCCCTTTGCAGCCAATGAGGAATATAAAATAGGAACCTCTAAGGTCCAATTTATTTCAACCTAAAGTAAATAACTAAAATACATGACTAAAAAGTTATTTCATTTCTCCTGGCTAAACAGGCAGCAAAGGTTGACTAGCTGACATGTACACAACTACACATAGATCTCACATAGATCATAGAGGGGATGCCCCCTCCCTGGAAGTGTTCAAGGCCAGGCTGGATGAGGCTTTGAGCAACCTGGTCTAGTGGAAGGTGTCCCTGCTCATGGCAGGGGGGTTGGAGCTAGATGATCTTCAAGGTCCCTTCTAGCTCTAACCATTCTATGATTCTATGATCTCTGGCTAAGAGACATGCCTCAGCTGGCCACAACTGCAGCAAACCACAGGTGACTCAGTGCATCTCACCCCTCCTTCACTGTGGGCTAAGGTCTGTCAGAGCCCCTTGTTGCTGGGGGCTGAGGATATACATATCACAGAATCATAGAACAGTTTGGATTAGAAGGGATGTTTAAAGGCCATCTAGTCCAACACCCCTGCAGTGAGCAGGGACATCTTCAACTACGTCAGGTTGCTCAGAGCCCCGTCCAAGCTGACCTTGAATGTTTCCAGGGGTGGGGCATCTACCACCTCTCTGGGCAACCTGTTCTAGTGTTTCACCACCCTCATTGTGAAAAATTTCTTCCATATATCTAGTCTAAATCTAGTCTAGTCTTTTAGTTTAAAACCATTACCCTTTATCCTATCGCTACAGGCCCAGCTAAAATGTTTGTCCCCATCTTTCTTATAAGCCCCCTTTAAGAATTTAAAGGCTGCTATAAGGTCTCCCCAGAGCCCTCTCTTCTCCAGGCTGAACAACCCCAACTCTCTCAGCCTTTCTTCACAGGAGAGGTGTTCCATCCCTCTGATAATTATTGTGGCCCTCCTCTGGACCTGCTCCAGCGGGGCCATGTCTGTCTTGTGCTGAGGACCCCAGGGCTGGGCACAATACTGCAGGTGGGGGTCTCACCAGAGCAGAGCAGAGACATATGCATATTTGTCCCTCAAATGCACATACTGTTTCTTAGCTGCCACATAGCGATTTGTTCCTCCTCTTCATAACACAAGAGAACAGTTGAACTTATGATGCATCTGAGCTATCAGATGCTGTGTGTTGGGCAGCTTCTCCTTGGAGCAAGCCTATAAATTTAAGCATGGAGTACATCACTGGTTTTTTTGTTTGTCTCTTTTTTTTTTTTTTTTATTTGAGGGGGGTAATTGAGAGTGAGGAAGTGCCTGACTCTTTTTACCGATCTCACAGATTGCAAGCTTTTACTCATGTATAAAAAGGCACATTTGACGTATTTTGGAGGTTTTGCCTTTTTTTAGCATGATTTATTTACACCTTCAGAAATACCCTAGAGCGACCCAAACCCAGTGTCTCTTTTATCACCAAAAATGCTTGCCAAGAATTTTGGAGCAAGGCCCCACCCTGAGTGCATGTTCTAGATGGGCCACAGCATTACACCAAATAGTGCAAATCTGCTTGCATTTAAGGCTGCCCAGTCCCATGTAACTTCCAGCTGTTTGCCTTGACTGCCTCAAACAGAGCAAGAGCAACATTCCCACACAGTCCTACCTCACACCACTGTTATCTCCAGCCACATGCTCTCTACCTCTGAGGTTTTGCATGGAACTGCTGAGCATTTCACAGAGCAGATGCAGCAGTGTGAGTCACTGCCTCACCAAGGAACGAGTTCCCGCATAGCAGTTGCTCCATGGAAACAGCCCATGTATATTCTTGGATGTTGTGCAATGCACTTTGAGGCCACTTACATGCCTCTGAAATGGAGATAATTTGTTTACTTCACATATACCCAGGAGAAGACCAGTCTGTGTCACAGAACTGCCTGGGTACTTCTGATGGAGCTTGTAACATGTGATAGCTTGGTTGAGATTTGGATGGTTCAGGCCACCTGGTTGGAGAAAAAAGAGCTCAAAGCAGGAGCCTTGACTCATGTGCCTTTAAGGCTGGCTTTCTTTCAGTCATCGAAACAAGGTAGCCCTATGCAAACCACCTGTTAGGAATGGTCCCTGAAGTGTGCTGACCCCCAAAACATGCCTGGGAATTGTTTGGGACAGGGTTCAACACCATGCCAGGCACTGGTCAAAGAGTATAACAGAGTGGATGATTGTGCTTTAGTAGCTAGAAACTTTGTCTGTGAGTGTTGAATTTACTCTCATAGCTGTAGCTGAATGTTTCCATCCATGTTCCCTAGAGGCGGTCTTTGTTTACAACTTTAATAGCTAGAAAATGTGAGGTTTCTGACCATCCCCACTCTTTATGGCACATCTTTCAAACCGTTATAATGAAGAAGCACTAACAACAAAGTTATTACTTACTCCACAAGCAAAACTTCTCATCTTGGCAGCTCTTGGCATAAAGGTACTTCAAAAAGTGTCTTAATATTCTGCAAACAAATCAATTCTTTATAATTGGCTTGTCTTTAGATTTGAATTAAGCTAATGATCTTTTTTATAGAGTTGAAAGGAAGCAGACAGGTTTAACTGAAGTAAATGAAATCTACATGACCACCTGTTTTGTTTTTTAAACTTTATAGGAAATCAATGTATTGACAGTAGCATTGGTCAACCAAGACAGAGAAAAAAATTCGGAGAAAAGAAGCCCCGGTCTAAAATCAGAGAAAGAGGCACTATTAATAGGTAAGATAATCCCAAATAAGTTTTTTGAGAACAAAATGCCTTTTAATAAGTTTTTGTTTTGCATATGTGTTTACATGCATCTTTGGGCTAATAAAAGTTAAAAAAAAAGATTTGTATTTTTCATCTGTATTTATAGTGGCTTTTAGTAAGAGAAATCCTCAAATACAAATGAATTTTTCTTTTCTGAAAAATTCTGCAGAGTTTAATGAAAGGATTTCATGTATGAAGAAAATTGCAGGATCTGCATTTAGACTTGCAGCATGAATATATGAAGACTATATTTAAATGAAGACTTAGCAGACTAGATTTGTATATCTTGTTATCTGATTATTATACAAAGTGATGAAGGAGAAGGGGATGGAAATAATATTAGCAAACTACCAAGCAAAATATGTATAGTGGATGTATTAAGCAAGCCAGATTTATGCTTTTGACATTAGGTGAGGGAATTAGCAATATGAATATTTATAAAGAATACCACAAGGACTGTCATCTCCTTTACCTAAAATAAAATCTTTAAAATAAACTCTTTAAGAGTGCCTAAAAGCTACAGCTTATAGGCAGTGGGCCAGGTAACTGTTATGTAGCATTTAGCCACACAGGAATGCTGGCTGTACCCACGCTACCCTTGCAGGAACATGCCCCATTTATATCCGTGCATGTTTTGCATTTGGTTTCAGTGGGACAGGTTTTCAAGGAGCCTAAAGACCCACAGTCCAAAGTGCTCTCTGTGGCATGATTGTCATTCACCAGAACGCTGACCTGAAGGACCAAATTTCATTTCTTTGGTTTGGTCTTTTCAGAAGATCAGCAGCATCCCAATAGATGATAGTTACAAACCTATCTTAATTTGTTTAAATGCAGCTAATTTGCATCTGCTAAGTACCAGAAAAGCTGGTTTATTGCTGGGGCACAGATTCAGACAGCTTGGAACAAAAAGGCCATTTAAAAGTGAAAAATGTATTTAGATGTTCTGTTCAAAGATAACTTCTTTGAGAATAGTAGCAAGGATGGGATACTAAGAACAGAATAAATAACTTTTTTTTTCTAGGTCACTCATTATTTGACTGTAACAAGTAGTGGCACTGTCACAAAGTGAATTCCATCCACTAGCTGTCCAGTGGCACACTCAGATAAACAGTGAAATCTCAACCCAGATATTACTAGTTGTAATACACCCCCAACTGACTCATTGTTACAGTTCGGAGGCAAAAGATTGCTCAAGATGGATTTAATGTTACCTCTTCCAAGGCATGTTCAGGCATGGCAAGCAAAGAATGGGCCCTGCCTCCGTCCATTCACTGTTTGCCATATTTTACAAAAGTCAATGTTGCTTTAGAGGAAAAGAGCGCAAAAGGAAAACAAAACTACTAAAAAAGTTATCATGGAACTCCAGCCAATAACTACAAAATATTTTCAAGTGACTTTTCATTTACATTATATGAAAGAGCTAGCTTTGAACATCCTGAATTGAAAAGCTTTGGAAATACACATAACAAATGCAATATTTTACCAATAGTAAAATGTGATTTGAATGCAAATTGGATTTCCAGTCAACCCATCCAAGTGTGATGGTCTTGGCTTTTGCTTCAAGAGCTCTTGTGTGAATGCCTATGGTCACGCACAGCACAAAGAAGGCATCTGCTGCTGGACTCGCCATAGTATAAAACTGAATACGTGCCCCTCCCTTTGCAGAATCAGAAGTTTGTAAGTGCTACTGGAAAAATTAGGAAAGAAAAAAGATGTTATTTGCAAAGCCAGTCTGAGATGAGTTAAATTTTACTTGAAAATGATAAGTAAAATAGACAATATTTGGGGAAAAATTAAATCCAAGATTATCCTAATTCATTCAGCATCAAGAAAGCAGTATGGCCTGCAGTACACAAGATACAGTGACCCATTTTTGTCATTTGTAAGCATTTTTAATCCTGGTGTTTATGCTTTAAATATAAGGAACTTCCCCTAGGGTAGTTCAGCTGAGAAACCCATCCAAACAGAGTTGAAAATATTTGCTCTGATTCTTACAGTTCAACTCACTCCAAACAGTAAGTAGCACACATGCCATTTTGTATTTTCACTGTTTATTTAGAAGAGGAGAAATTGGCTAGTGCTTTTAATAGCAATTCTGATGCCTCAAATCTTGTTTTCTCTGGTCATCATTATTATGCTGTCACTTCATTTTCACTGCAGAAAAGCTCTCTGGACTTAGATCCTGACTCCTCCTAAGCCACTTTTATTCCCATGCCTTTGACAACGATCCTGTAAATAACAGTGAAGACAGACAGAACTGACTCTTTTTTAAGAGAAAGTAAATAAGTAAATATGTCATAAAGGATTTGTGTTTTCTTCAGCAGCAGTTAGGGGTAATATGGATTAAACATTTTTCATAACCAGCATCAATGTAATTACTAGAAAAATTTGAGGGAGTGAGGTTTTTGACAAAACTATATGAAACATTTTCACAACAGAGCATCCAGTGAAGGGGAAAAAAGCAGTAATTTTACCATTACAGTATACACAATTTTATATTGGTAAATCAAGCATAAAATTGGTAGTTGAAATGCTTCCAGCAAGTCTTTGTTTAGAAATTCCTTTATTCATCAGTATATTATCTTGGTCACTTACTTGCTAACTGCTGTCATTCCTGAAGATGAGCTATTGTGTTTACCATGTTATTATGACTGTATTAAAAATGTGCCATTTTGTTATGTTTATTGGGTTGTGTAAGAAAAATAAGAATCATAATTCATACTGAAAAACCTGCAAGAACAGACTATTCAGAGTTATCCTGCTTATTTTAATGATATATTGTCTGAGGTAATTTCAATACTTTGTGTGCATTTGTTTTTAATACAGGTATCATATCCACATTTCTTCACGTCCATCCTTTTGGAGCCAATATAGAATATCTTTGGTCTTATATGCAGCAGTTGGACTCTAGGGTAAAAAAATTTAATCAAAATCTGTTTTCTCTGTAGAAATATTGTATTATTCTTTACTTCAGGTTAAACTTCGTGCGTTTCCATTAGAAAGATAATGGGATATGGAGCTTGGGGGTTTGCTCTCTTTGTTCATTCGCAAATTACTGTGCATGCGCTTGCTTTGAGGTCTTTACCTCACACAGTTTAGCTATTCTTTGTCACAAAGAAGAGCAGAGCTTTAAATGGCAAAGACTAGCAGCTGATTTTATGATACATGATCCCGAAATACAGCTGAGGAGAAAGAAAGCAGAACAAGAGGCAGGTGTAGCCATGGCCATTAAACTGTGCAGAGTTTTAGGAGATGAATCATTAATTTTCTAAAAATTGTTAGTCATGGGTCACACCAAACATGAACTTTCATGAACACATAAAGCATACACTTTGTCTCCACAGAGAAGCAGAAGGGGGCCTCATAAAGGAATTGGCTGAACCTATTGCTAAATTCAGAGAAGGTGTGGCCTACGCAAAGCTGAGGCAAACACACTACAGTGTGTAAAGTGTTTTTTAATGCATCAGTTCATACAGTCCATGGTCACTACTTACCTGTAGGATAAGATTCTTTGACTTACTTTTATATATTGACTGTAGGATGAGATGACATCAAGCCCCGAAAGTGCCTATTCCTCTCCACTGAATATTAAGCAAGTCAAGGGTGAGAAGCTCGGATGTGAAATAGCCACCTTCGGTCAGGTGGATGCTACTCTAAGAGCTAAACAACAGCTCTGCAGGATGCTAGAGTGCATGAGATACTTAGCAGATGCAGGGGTCACCCTGTGGTTAGCCAGAGCTCTTATCCACATCTGCCAATACTACCACTGGACATGGAGATGATGGTACTTGCCCAGATCTTCTTGCAACATGGAGTCAGGGTGTAGCTATGGTGTGCACTTGGACTCAGAACATAAGTGGCACTTCTTATATGGTGCTAATTGATCCTGGTAACATTTTGTTCCTGAACACTTCCTCCAGCCATTCCACCCATAGCCAAATCCTCTTGCAGCTGCTGTGATGGGCTACTTTGATGGGCTACTTCATGACCCTTCCTGTGTTTCTATGAAAAAAAATGTACAGCTAAAAGCAGAGGAGATTCTGAGCTAGAAACTGACTGGAAATTAGACAGACTGCATGGAGGAGTGAGGAAGAATGATAAAGTTCCTAGGCACTATCTTCAGGCCACGACATCTCAGATTTGCTAGTGCCTTACAGTGCACTCCTACATGCAATGAAAATGGAGTAAGGGATGAGGACAGTAGAAAGAGGTGAGAAGCTGGTGAATTTCAATTTAAAAAAAAAAAAAATCTGATTTTATCAGGACCTGATACATCCAGAGCTTCACACCTGCAACCATTCCTCTTCTGCTTCTCTATTCCCTGATCTGCCACATGTACACCTTCTTTCATCTTGTCCCCAGTTCTAGCAGCACCCAGTCTGCCCAATCTCCTCAGTCATCTTTTAAGTCCTTCCTTAACACACAACCTTTGGTTAAGTTTCAGTTGTTTTTTCCCCTCAATGACCACTCCAGCTCTGTATCTCTTGAGTGAAAACAGCGATAATTTAAAATTCTGGCTCCTTGGGCTCCAGCCCTGCTGCTCATTGCTTCTGCCCACTGAGCTCTTCAACTTTCTCCCTCTTCACTGCTGGGGTCCTTCCTTGTGCATGTGTCAGTGGGCTCTGTTATTGAATTTCTTTGCATGTGTAACCTGATAACTTCTGCAAGGCTGGCAGGATCAAACCCTTAACTTGCAAACACAGCCTTCATGAAAGGAACATTGTGTCCATCTCTCCAAAGTGCCAAGGTACCAAGCCCTGCAGCTACCACTTGACCTACTTGTTGCATAATAAGCACAAGCCACAAAATTTGACCTTGCTTGGTTTATTTTGGAAGTAACTGCTTGTAGCAACAAATTACTTTTTAATAGCGCAATCCAGAGATGCAATCTCAGAGATTAATTTCAATTACTTGCCATGGTTAGCCTGTCATTCCTCACCTGAGTAGGAATGATAAGGTCAGCATACCCATGCAGGCTGAGGGCTCAGTATAGAGCTCGGATACAGTACCCAAAGGTAACGAGCTATCCATTACTGCCATGAGAGTATGTAAAAGATGGACCTGATTACTTTGGGGCTTTAGAGTGCCTCCAACACCGATTTTCAGTGCCACTTTTAACAAATAATTTAATCTTCCTGCTTCGCTAACCTCTTCAGAAAAATATGAGGTGATAGATATTTTCTCACCTCCCTTGGGTGGAATTAGGTGTAATTAACATATTTTATGTTTATACACTGCTTTAAAAAATAAAAATTTTCACCATAGAGGTTCCTACTAATATGAATAAGCAGAAGTATCATAATTTCCAGATAAGCCTATCAAACCATAGAGATACCAAACCATGAAGAGACCTGTGGATAACAGGCAGCACTCACAGAGTTTTTTACTGTTCCTTTCATGACTATCACTTTAGAAGAAGTAGCTGCAGGATAAAATGATTCATTTTCCATGATTGTTTATTTCTTGACTCCCCTACGGATTACACCAGAAAGATTGTCTTTGTGAACGTGTTTTCTGAAATGACAGCATCTTTTACATTATGAAGGTGACCAGTTATGAAGGTTTCAAGTCCATAAAATCTTCCTGAGCAATTCTAAATAGGGAACTTCATTGCTTAGTTGTCTGGGGCTACTGAACTGGGCCAAACTGGGAGAATATTGCTCCACTGATAGTCAACCCTAAGTAATAAAAGTGAGCTACTTAAAAATAAAATCCCCCTTTTATTCTTTTTTTTTTTTTTTTTTTTTTTTTTTTTTTTTTTTTTTCAAGAGAAAAACTTATGGAGCTGGGAAGAAAAGGACTCAAGAGCTCCTGGAATGAGAAGGAAGAATAATGTCCCATTTGCTTTCTCCTTCTCACAAGTAATTGTAGCTCTTAAATGGACTTCATACAACACTGTGGCAGCACCCCCGACATAGTAGTTGTCATTCTTTCACAGTGGGATGCCACTTACAAAAGCAGAATCATTCCTGCAAGGAATCTGCACTTGCTTTGGAGTCTGGAAATTCAAGTCAGGCTAAGGTTAAAATAAATAAAAATAATAACAGTTGGTTGTTTTCATCTGCCCAGGTTTTCCACCTCCATTCCCCTCTTATTTCTGTTCTCCGTACTTCCCTCTTTCCAATCTACAGGGCAGCTTTCTCACTTTAATTTTACTTTTCTCTCTTTCTCAGATCTCTGCAAATGAGATAGAAATGCTTTTGATGAGACTGCCACGCATGTTTAAACAAGAATTCACTGGTGTAGGAGCAACACTGGAAAAGAGGTGGAAGTTTTGTGCCTTTGAAGGAATTAAAACTATCTGACTGTGACTAGTAATGAAGCTATGCAGAAGAAGAATACCTAGAGCATGGCAGGGTTCTAAAGTATTAAAGTAAGAAATTTGGGGTTGGGCACATAGTAGTATGTTTTCAAAGTTATCCAAGCCTAATTTTAGTTACATTTGTGATGTTCTCTTGTGAGTGGAAATGTAGTTGTGCACCAGTTCCTAAAATAAAATAAAATTTTTAAAAAAAGTTTCAAAATGTGACAGATCTGTTTCCTATGAAAACTGAAGAAAGACACCACAGTCATAATGATTTCAGAATACTACATGTCCTACATCTAAGAAAAGCTCATTGAGCAAACAGTTAAAGAGAAAGATTGCCCGGTTATGATCGCTAAGCTACAGCGATATATATGTAATATATAGTAGAGCTCATTAAGTTTCGTTATTGAAAGTTCTTTCTGTTTAGTAAGAAAATTGAGTAATTTTACAGTGAGGAAAAGCATACCAAAAGAAAACTTGAAAATGTGTCTGAAGTTATTGTATTTTGTAAATTAAGTTATATGCTGTACCAGGGATTTTTGCCTTATTGAAAGAGGCCTGAAAATGTGATTGGAGTCCTCAAGAATGCTTTATCAAGAATATTATTTTTCTAATGTAACTATTCTCCATTACAAGTTCTTTTAACATGGATTGCATATCAATTTTCATAAACATGTAAATAAGGAGGAAACCAGTGTTACTGTATTGTATTTGGTATGTAACATTCAGGTTTATGCATCAAAATAAATATTCAGTTGCATTACTGTTACAAATTTTATAGCAGATATATTAATTTTTATCAATAAATATGACTTCTACCATATTGTTTGTACAAGTTTTTCTTCTGATTTTTTTTTTTGTCAATCCATCAAGAGTCTCCTAGCACTTCTCTTTCTCCTACCTAAACTATTAATTGCAGATAACTTGGTTAAATTAATTAGGAATCAAAAAAAAGTTTGCAAAATTAGCTAAGATTAAAATAATTTAAAATATTGGTAGAGGAAGTACCAACATGGACCTTTGTTTAGCTGAACAGATTACATTTGGTTTTTTTCAGACAAGCAGCCAGGTTAAAAATTAACACCTTCAAATTTCTCGTTTTCAGTATTGTATTGGGTAGTCATGATGCATCCTATTAGTTACTCCTTCTAACTCCCAGCTAATGCTTCTGGCCTTTGGCTAGGGAAGAAAAAGCATGAGTCACTTCTGGTGGTGTCCCTTAAGAGGGGACACTGATATAAATTATCATTTAGGATTTACTGTCAAACACACAGTACTCCAGCCCTCTTGTGAGATCCAGCAAAAGCTAAAGAAGTGTGTGTATCAACCAAGCCAGGAGAGTATGGAAGGAATCGCTCCTCCCAGAGACCAGCTTTAAAGAACTGCATCCATACAGCATTTAGCGTGGTGCTGGATAAGAACCAGCAGCCGCTTCCAAATCACACCTCTATGTAGGCAGAGGAGGCAACCACAAGAGAGCTGGCCCTGTCAAGTGGGGCACCAACAGTGGGAAATATGTCAAATTGCAACAGATGCAGGGAGTATCCAGATACCTGTCAGAGTCATGTTTCACTCGGGTTCTTCAATAAACAGCAATTAGCATCAAATGCAATTAGTCATGAAGGAACTCTCCTACATGGCTGTTAGTGATTACTGCTTTAGGACCTATTTCTTTTCTGGCACCTACCTGGAATCTAGAAATATTAAATGAAATGTTAATTGTGTACAAAAGGGAAAAAGAAAGAGGCTTAGCAGGTCTATTATGGAAGAAAATTATGCTTTCAGTCAGTACCCATAAAAATTCTTTTAAAGAACATACATCTCTATTATAGTTGCTACAGAACCTGTGTTAAGGGAAGTTACTTGGGTGAAACTAGTAATTATATGCCAGTTATGTTAATGAAAATTAACTAGTTTAATCCAAATAGCAACTCTTTCTTCTCTCATGATCATACAGATTTATGAATAATTCAGGCAAAAATGTGTTAGGTCTGACAGCTCTTATTTAAGTACTGTAACATAAATGTGTATGGATGGCACTAAAGCTGGGGAAAAGAGATGTGAGAAAACTTTCACCTCAGCTTTCTTCATACCATACTTACTCAATATATACTATCCTCCCTTTTCTCTTGTATCCTCTGTTTTCTCCCTTTGTCTCATCTCCTCTCCCACAAACTCCTGTCCCCAATAGCCACAAAACATCTTAAAGCTGACAGGGCCTTGTAACCTAATCACCATATTTGCTTTGTGTTTGTTTTCTCTTCCTAGGTTTTTCCTATCTGTCTAGGCCATAAGTGCTTTAGGAGAGTGACTTTTTTTTCCTTATGTAGTACCAGCTAAAAGGGAACCTCCTTCACTGATCTTTAGATACCATCATGGAAGATCTAAATTTTAAGTATAAATAGCATGTAGGCATCCTGCAATATTTTAATGTGTCAGATGAGACCTTGAAACTTGTGGTGGTCCTCATGAGGATCAGGCTGAGCCTCAGAACTGGCTTTAACATTGTGTGCCCATTGGCTTTGGGGGAAACTAGATTAAAATGCTCAGCTCCATTACTTAGCTGGTGAAATGTCCTTGTGATGACTCTTGGGGGATCCAGATGGGGTTCCTGAAGTGATACAATGGGATGAATATCAAGGAAGCCATCTTTGAAAGACATCTTTTACAGATATGTTACTGATAGAGAGAGAAGACAGTGATGTCCTGTAAGCCAACATTAAATTCCGGTGATGCACCCTTTAGTCAGTTTGTCTGAGCAGAAGTGTCAGTCAATCTGATGCCATCGTAGCCCAGAAAGATGTACTCCATGTGAAGCACATCACTGGAGGACATATGTAAACCCCTGAAGCCATGACTGTGGGTGATGGTGCTCTTCTTAGCGCTGTAGGGCATTGCAGGAAAGCAACTTGTGAAAATGGCATGAGGTGATGCCACTTAACTATAGTAAAAGAGGAAGTCAGTGTAATGGGAAAGAAGACTAGCCTTTCTCTATGCCATTTATCCTGATGACTGAAACAAAGGCTTGGTCAGCTGCAGCAGAAGTCAGCGTGCTCGCTTCCAGAAAGAGGATGATATTGAGGTGGCCAAGTGGTACTTAGTGAAACGAGGCAGTGCAAGACATAAAACAAGTTTCTCCAGCTGAGTCAGGTTGAAGGAGGATGCACATTTGGCAAAGACTTAAAGCCATTTACAGTTAGCAGGAACCTTATAATGGTAGTAGGAAATAAAATGAGGGAAAGATAGGCCAAAGAGACACCACACCATCAGGCTAACCATGAGCTCAAGAGGTGAGACTGCAGTAGCCTGGCAAGCAATTTCCAGGTGGAAAGTTATAGCAGTGTCCCCGCTTCTAAATAGGAACTAGTGGAACAGGAGAAGATAAGATTTCTGACTGCCCAAACATGCTGAGGGTATTTTGCATGGAGTTGCAAGCTCAGCTGGCCTGAACTCCTGTTCTCCCAGGAGAGCTTTTTAGCTTATCCTTCACTTTGAATTTGTCTTCAAGTGGTGGCAAGGTTGACTTTCATTAGTTTAAAGGGTCAGCCTCTTACTGCACTGTATTTGATTCCCACTCGAAAGTTTAAGTCATACACTGTGCAAAACCTCTTGGACAAATGTGCCTTTCACTCTGCACATTCAAGGGAGAGGAGTGTAACCTCTCTGTTAAACTGCATTTTATACCCACATGAGACACAATGTTTGATGAAGACTTCGTTATCCCCATTACTAAAAAGGAGTTTTCTAATACTGCCTCATGCTTTTCCATATAGTGGAGTCTAGTTTTTTATTGAAGTGTGCATGTTTCGGGTGAAACTTTCATGTTCAGGACTGCCAGAACATCACGTTCACTTACAGAACAGCTATACTGAGATTTAGAGAAAATCCTGCATCGAGATATGCTACGCTTAGCTACGCATCATGTACGGTAAATGCTGTGGAATCTAAAGCCAGAAAATTTCTTGTAATAGCATTCTGGGTGGTTTGTTTCAGTCAAAATTCTGGTCCTGCAAGCATTGTTTTATTTATAATCAGAACAGCTCTGACAGTCAGTGTTAGTGTGACAACAATGTTCTGCACTGATGTGAGCTGATTTGGGGAACAAAGTTTGGGGAGAGGAAGAGGGAAAGGAATTCATTGGTTTGGGAGATGTATTCTTTTTGTGCCTTCAGTAGTAGCGAGATCTGATAAAAAACTGATGTCCACTTTCCATAATTTTCTGTCCATCTTGCCAAAACAGGAGCTTAACAAATGCATCTCAGAGTTCAGCATTTGAAGTGTGAGGCTTTTATCATCTTTTCCTTGTGAAAGGCTACACGTTTTCCTGTCCTGTGACTTGTCACTCTGGTTACCCTGATAAGATCTGCAGCTCTTTTACTCAAAATTTTCCCTCAAATAAAAAGTAGAAACAGCAGCAAATTTCTTCTGGTTCTGTAGTCAATCTCCTCTGGAAGCAAGTGCTGAGATGCTCAGAGAAAAAGAAATCTTCCTACATTCATTGGCATTAAGTAGGACAAGATCTCCCAGACATTCTGGGCGCACAGTCGCTGTGACTGCTCAGACTGCAAAGGGTGCCTGTTCACTTACTGAGTTAAAACTGCATGTTTCAAAAACAAGTCATCTGAAAAAGCAACCGAATCAGGAAATTATGCTTACAAGGTCCAGACCTTCTGACTACATAAACTCATTATATTGAATACGTGGAAATCCTAATTTGCAAACAAAATCAAATGGATATGCTCAGGAGTACTTCTGATTAAGTGTTTTTGCCGCACACTGACTGGATAATAAACATTGTGCCTGTTCAGACTTAATGGGCTGACTCCAATGTCATACCCCCTCTCAACAGGGATATTTGGGGAGCAGCAAGAGAAAAAAATGTGTATTCCTTTAAACCTAGCAGAGAGCACTCCTGCAATCTTGCCACAGCCATATTATAACCATTTGCTCAAACTTCTGGCTGGTTAAGTACTTCTTGCCAATTTATGTGCTTTTATATATATAACATTGAACCTAAAAAAAAAAAAAATCATCCACTTGGACTGCTCGTATCTTAGCCATGTCACAGTTAATTCTGTAGTGATCCAAATAGCATATGGTGGATTAAAACACATCTCCCATAAAAGCATCCAGCCGTAATCAAAGTTATGAAGTGATGGAAAATATACTTTTTTACTTGATAGTTTGTTAGAAAAGATTAACATTGTCAAAATTGTGTTCTTACATCCTAACTTGTTTTTTTTCTTGCTTATTCTAGCCAGTTTTGCTTTTTTCTGCAAGATTAAATAATTCCTTAGTACTGCATATTTTCTCCCCGTGAAGATATTTATATATTGTAGTCTATTTACTTCTCAGTATTCTTTCTCATAAACTAAACAGATTGAGCTTTTAAGTGTTTTGCTATAAGCTATTTATCTTCTCTTCCTCAAATCATTGTGTTCTTTTTTTTCAATATCCTTTCAAATTTTTCAACACCTGTTTTAAAATATGCAGAGAAAAGCTGTTACGTGAATTAGTCTGATCAACACTGTCCACAGACATGAAGTCACATCTCTGCTTCGATTCAGTTCTCTGCCTTCTGTTCCTATCAGACTATTAGCTAACGTCAAAACAGTGGTCCCTGTAAATCACTGTTAGGTCATCTTCTTCATCCTTCTCATGTAACAGATTCCTCTGCATAGATATGTTTCTGTATGCCAACACCAGGGTTTTCCATCCCCACGGACAGAATTGTTTGTGCAAGGGCAAAGGTGCCACCCCATGAGGGTATCTGGGGGCTCAGATCCCATGCACAGCCTTCAGGGTTCATTCTTTGCTATGA